TCATAGTTAGTCACATAAGTACAGAAATCATATTTGATTTGTGCTGTTGGATCACAGGATATAAAAACTTGTGATCTGATGTAAAGTGCTGCAGTTTCAGAAAGTGGCTTCCCGTCACTATTACAGAATAATTTATGAAAGCAGATGATCATTTTCGTTTTTTCATAGGGGCCTGAAAATGTGCTTGTCTCAAACATACTTTGTGAGAGCTCAAACACAACACTTTTTCACAATAAAGTTTATTCCCCCCGCTGTACATATAGTTGCAAAGAACTCAAAAGTTAAAAGAATAAACAACCACATGCATTCAGTATAAGAGGTTACCAAAGTTAAAATGTGAGCAAATTAGTTAGGTTAGGTCCCCTTTTCAGGTCATAAAGGCCCATGGGGAATGGGGGAGCAAGGGCCACCATTTTGCTGAACCATCCAACACTGGAGGTGGAGGTGATGTGGTCAGCATCACACTCAGGCCAGCCTGTTACCCCCAGAAGGATTAACCCCCAGTACTCATTTGGAAAGCAGGCCGAGTGGACCTGGGAGCCATCTGGAGGGAATTAGAGCAAGCTAAATCACTTGCCCCTACCTGGGATGGAACCTGGGACTTTCCTGTCAAGAGCTAGACACCCTTGCCATCTAAGCTACCACGGCAAGCGAATTAGTACTCCTCTCAATAATATTGTTAAGGTCATTCGAAATTTAAAAGAAAAAAGATACAAAGAGGTTATGCATTATTATGAATTACCAGATAAACACAGTACATACACAACAGTGCAAAATTCACAGTTGTTTATCATTTCTCTTCTATTTTCTATGTGCTTCCTTTGTTTAGCAGAAATGCAATTATTTAGGGATCTTCTATTACTCTTTCATTAATTTTGTCTGAAGCTAGCAGTTAATCCTGATAGATCTGTATTGTGTAGTTCAGAAAGTACCCCTTTAGCTTTATGGATGCGTAAAGAGGAAGGAATTATGTTAACAATGAGTCCATTGCGATTTGTAAATGCGATGGATTAACAATGGTTCATACTGGCTTCTAAAGTAATTTAACTGTTGTTGTGACCATGTTGTTGGAAAATTCTGATCATTGTGAAGTAAAGGTTATTAAATAACAAGTTTGGCTTCTTCTAAATCAGATAAGATGTTTAAGCCACAGCTGAACTTCTTGTAAATGTAATTAAAGCAGAAATTATAATAGACATTTGGGAGGAAGGTTATATTCTAATCTCACACTTTTCCGTATATAAATCTCACACCCAGAACTTCCCGTTATGAATCTCTCATACCCCTCCCGCCTCTCAATCTACGCCCCTGCAACAACTCCCTGGCTCAGTCCTCCCAGCACTGAGACTGCCAATTCTCCCCGCCAGGCGAGCTTCGCCAAATACACTCCGCATATCTCCACTCTCTCGCGCGCATTTTATTAGGATCTAACCAAACTACTGAATAGTAGAAAACAAAACTGGAGACTTGGAGTAAACTGTAGATGGTCAAAGCATACTGTACATGAAATGCAACTCCAGATAATTTACAAGATGTCTGCTGCTTTTGCACAGCAGTGTATATGTAATTAAGTATTGGTTGTTTTGCCACATTCTGACAACTGTGTGATGTTTGAAGTGCTCCAGCCCAGTACTTCTCAATCCTGGTGCTGGCAGACCCCTGTGTCTGCTAGGTTTTGGTCCAGCTGGGCCCTAAATCACCAGTGCTAATTGCTGCCAGTCAGTAATTAATCTGCTTGTTTGTTTAGGTTTTTATTTCTTCATTCAGGTCTTGGCTTCAAAAATACCTCAGTGCAGGGGTTCCTAGTCCTGGGGAACCCCAGTGTCTTCTGGTTTTTACTCCATCCCAGCACAAGATAATTTGTGTTAATTTTCTATTTGTGGCCTCTTTGAAACTTGCTTTCAGCTTTTGAAAGGCTACATGTCATTGTGATTGCTGTGGACCCCGTGCTAATGAGTGAGTTTCAGGACTGCCCTCTGACTGTGCAGGAGTCTGATATACTGTACGGTGTTATTCGCACCTGCATCTGCTCATCATCAATTGCTCGGCTATCGAGAGCTGCATTAAGACATTAGGGCGCATAATGTTCTGTGTGCTGAAGTTATTGGAAATAATGCACTTTATCTAGGATTTTTTAAACCAACAACTGAGTCCAGAAAAATAGTCTAAACCAGCAACAGGTCAATTACAGACAAACATTTGCACTAGTGATTAAGGGTCCAGCTAGAACCAGAGACCACTGCTCTAGTACACATCACTGTGTTAAAGTCTGGTTATACCCACTATACTGTGTATTCCATATACTTCTTCTCTACCATACAGTACTTCAAAATGATCAAGACTAATATTTTCTATTCTAGGGAGTAGGCTCTCAAAACATGTCCTCCATATTTGATTTTTAAAATTGTCCTTTTTTTTCCCCCGGCAAGCTATAAACGGTTACTATACTTGTCAAATCATCAATAAAATAATAGCACTGCAACAGATTCGGGTTCTCTGGGCTTGTGTCCTCGCCGCTCCCACCCCGGTTCATCCCTCACCGCATGGGCGTGAACCCAGGGGTCTCGCCGGTGTAGCGGAGCTCGTTTGGGCACAGTGACGTCAACGCCCTCCCTGCGCGCAGCAGGGACCTCAGCCTCCTGGGCTGGGGGAGGTCTCCTTTAGCTCACTCGGCTGGTGCCCTGCTGCGTTACACCAGAGACCCGGGTTCACAGCCAGGCGTTGCGGGACGAACCAGCAGCGTAGGGCAGCGAGGGCACGAGCCTGCGCAGAACTGCGACAGTCACACCGGCTGAGCTAAAGAGTACCTTCCTCAGGCTGGGCGGCCAAGATCCCTGTTATGCACACGGGCGTATTCGTTACAGTACATACTTGGGGATTCACATGGGCGCCCTCCCCGCTACCACATCAGGTCGGCCTCCTACCATCGGGTGAACTCGAACCTGGCCCTCCAGCATCACTAGGGACCCAGCCTCTTAAGCCAAAGGGAAATCTCCCTCTGCGGTCCCTGCTATCCACAGGGAAGGGCGGTGACGTCACCGCTCTGGTAAGCCGGCTCTCACGAGCAATGGAGGCCGTATGGGTTACAATACCATCTCCGAAACAAGCTGAAGAAGCTAGAACCTTTGTCACATTAATCATCCATTTTCTGGCCTCCCCATGCTTCATCTGAGTCGTGGGGGAGCCCGAGCCTGTCCCAGCAAACAGCGGCTGCGAGGGGGGGTGACACCCTGGACGGGGTGCCAGTCTATTGCAGGGCAGACAGACACAAGCGCCCTCACATCAGGGCCAGATGTTTTAGAAGCCGATTAAACCACTTGCATGTTCTGGGACAGTGGGAGAAAACCAGAGCACCAGGAGAAAACCCTCCTGAAGGCAGCAGCCCAGGTCCAAAACTGAACCCAGGGCCCCAGTGCTGTGATAACCACTGCAGCTCCTTGGTCATATCACGTCAGGTACCCGTCTTTTGTATTGTGTACTCTATTCCTTTCATTTACACTTTTTCTACGTAGGAAGGGCGATCAGACTATAACGCACTGTGTCGCAGCGCGCTTGGCTTATTAAAAAGATCCGATTGTTTAATCATTCCTCATTAATTCATCCAGGTGGGGCTGCACATTGGTGGTGGTGGAGGGGATCCCCATTACCTGTAAAGCGCTTTGAGTGGAGTGTCCAGAAAAGCGCTATATAAGTGTAAGCAATTATTATTATTATTATTATTATTATTATTATTATTATTATTATTAATTAATTAATTTATTTATTAATTACTTGTACAACTTAGTATGGACGTTCATAGCTATAAGTCCTATAGAAAATATCACACGCCCCGTATACCGGCAGTGAACTTGAAGCTCATGTACCGTACTCTCACAAAAAGGGACCAGCCCTCCCAGCAACCCACACGGTGTGTTTGACATCCTTCCTGCAGCTCTTTAGCAGAAGGGAGGTACGGCATAGTGACCGGCCGGCGTACCGCGCATACCAGGGGCCTGACGGAGGGAGCTCAGGCTGGGCATTCCCTTCTGCGCGCGCACACCCCTGCAGTGAGTCACGCAGATGACAGGTTGTGGGCAGAGTACCCCCACGCCCACGTGTTTGTATACCCCACTCCCTGGACGACCGCGAGGGCGATAACTGTAAGGGCAGAAATCACGGTAGGCATTCCGCGACCTGGCAGCTTTCGCGGGCTGAGAGCCAAAAATTCCAGGTTTTGTTCCACAATATGGGAGTCGGGGCTCGGACTCTTGTGCATTTTCAGAGGGACCGGACGTTCAGAAATGGATAAAATTAATAATTACAATGCAGGCTGGCTGTGTTGCAAAAGCCCAACGAGTTTCTATAACACTTGGTTTTCCCGGTTCTACAATTATATATTATGTTTTGTAAATATCAGTTACAGGCTTTCAGATATGTAAATAGTTAAAAAAATAACAGAGAAATTGATATAAATTTTGATAAATGGTAGGATGTATGTAGTAAAGTTGGACTTCTTCCTTTTTAATAGACAATAATGGGTTTGTGCATTGTCAGATATGAGTATTTGCTTACTTCTTTAATTAAGCAAGCAATGCGTCTTATTTTTAAAGGAAAGGGGTTTTATGTGATTCTTAATAGTTATTTTTCATTTTCCTTACAAATAGGAGTTTCAAAAAGAGCTCCATAACTGCTGTTCAATATTTTTTTTTAACACGGTATCTGCAAATGACATTTTCCACAGTGCCTCCAAAAAGACCGACCATAAATCCGCCCCGTCATCCCTTACAATATATTAGAGTCTAATCTCTTGTCGCTTTTTATTAAAATGGACCACCAACATTCAGATCCGTAGTTACCCTGAGCGAGGTTCATTCACTGTATTTCGGTATCCATGTGAACCAGACAAAATGAACAATAACTCAGTAGTAAACATGCTGTCCATGAGTACATTTCCAAGCGGTTTCCTGCGCGATTACGCATCTTGTGTTGTGGGATATATCGGGAACGGAGCTGTCAGAGCTGGGCGCACCCTGACGTAGCACACGCTCTCCAGGGCGTTGTTCTTCTATAATGAGAAACTTTATAACTGCGGCGTTACCTCTGGCATCAAAATACTCGCTGAAGTTTGGGCTGGAGAACTGCTGCAGGACGTTTCTCTCGAGATTCTTTGCTGAATTCTTGCTCTCCTGCTTGGTCTGCTTTGTGCTCGGATCATTTCAAAGTTGCTAGTATTAAGTAAGTTTGATATATTATTTCGCTCTGAATTTTAATCTTTATTTTTTTCCAACCTTTTCTCGTCTTTTGGAAATATGGAACACTTCAGTCAGGGTTTTTTTCTTTCTGCTTCTTTTGGATGAACTACACTATCGCGTTCCTCCGGGATTATGCTGAAACCTGTGTAGCGTACCCTACTCCTATGTTTTCTTTAAATTAACAGCTGGACAAGATTTAGATTGTTCTAAATTAAAGAATGCGATGTTTTTGTTAAGCAGATTTCTAGTTAACCTGTTCTAGTTTTCGGTGTGCTTGTATATATAGTTTTTTTAAGATTGCTACTATTTTATTCGCTTATTTTCTAACTCTTCTTCAGGATCCCTACAAGATACTAAGTAATCAGATGCATGCTAAAATCCACGTTCAGTTTTTTATAATTTCATTTAGAGTTTTGTGGCGCTAAATAAGAATATACACCATTTGAGTATCTTTAGGCTAACAGTAAACAGCCCTTAACTATTCAAGTATTTGGACGGACCAGGATAATGTTTGATTTTCTTAGTTTGCGTGGACAGGACCGGAGAGAGAAAGCTTTAATTTTGGAGCGCCTGAATACTGGCTTTGTAACCGAGTAACGGTCTGAGTCGCTATAACAGTACCGCTTTGGAATGCTTGGACTGTGATCCAGAAAATGTAGACACAGTAAAAACATTGATCGAATATCAAGCCTTGAGAGAGCTGGAAACCTACATGATATGTTGTCTATAGTTTTATTAACGATAGAAAAGGGGGGAAAATTGAAATAAAACTGTTAAAGAATTTAAAGATTATTTCGCTGACTAACCAGCACGACAAACATTATTCATTCTTAATGTTTAATGCGATTTTTACCTTAATTGACGCGTTTTGTTAGAAAAACTGTAAGATCTACATGAAGTTGTTTTATACGTATATTCAAAAAAGGTTACATTACTAACTTTTCTATACAATTATGTGATTCGAACATACGCAATTCAAAAACTCAGCTTTACTAGAGAAAGTTTTCTTTTTTTTGTCCTCCAACGATCCGAACATTAATTTAAAACGGTAACACACTTGAAAGGGCGCTCCCTACTGTGGAAAATTGGCACGGCATTAAGTGCATGACACACCCATCGCTCTGAGGCGCCTGCAGTAGTAACTGTTGCAGATGCAACTTCATTCACACAGCGGGTTAAAAGTCGTTTTCTCCTTTCCTTAGATCTAACTGAAAAATGCTGCTCCTGTTGCTGGGAATCATCATTTTGCACATTGCTGCTTTGGTGCTTCTATTTGTATCGACCATTGTTAGCGTGAGTATACTGTTAATATAAATATTATCGATTAATTGGTGGATTTAAAAAGACCGTTTTCTTGGTGGAGTCACATTATTGTTGTTGTTCGGTGAAAAGTAAAAACAAACTTCCTTGCGTCATGGTTTCTCTAAGAATGTGTTTAGTGACTTTTTGACAACATTTAAGTTTCAGAAACATGGTACCTCGTTATTGGAATTGAACGCACAAAGCATTATTTTGCGCGTTTCGGGTTAAAACATAGCATTTATTTTAACCCGAAACACACGCAAAATAATGCTTTGTTGGATACATTTGATCTTCGATATATTTGTTTTGGGTGTTTGAGTATTTTACTTAAGAACAATTTCTATCAAATGCAGAATTACTGTAACAGATGATGTCATTGTCGTTTGCTGCATTCAACATATTAAACTTTCTTACAGCCTTTGGGATTTTGATTCTGAAAGCCTAAGCAATCTTTGTACGGGAGATGTTGTCCCTTGAAACAGAATTATAATGATGACTACGTGCTTCAGCAAACCCCTGCACTGAAGCTCTGGTCTCAACACTTCATCTGCGCGGTGTGTTCTGTTACAGGCTTGGGCTTATGATGGAAACACGAGTTCTGATCTTTGGTCAAACTGCACTACAACCAATGGAGGGAGTCACTGTGACCAAGCTTTCACAGGGGGTGAGTCAAAATCCAAATCTGTTTACTGCTTCACCCTCAACTACCTTTTTCCCCAGTTAGTTTTTGGATTGTGCCTTTTTTTTCTTTTAAATGATTTGACGCATATACTCTTATATGTCTAAAGACATATAGTTCTTATCCCTATCACCTCCACACAATTGCATTTGCTACAAAAGCAATTTGCTCCCGCATTTGAATGTACTTCTTCTCACTTCTCACTTTATTCTCTTGCCTGATTTGTTTTCGTAACTCAATGGATATGCAGAAGGACTTTCCATTTTAGGACCCAGAACTAAAACTAAACAGGTTTAGACTAACAATGTAGGCTAGTATTGAGTACTGAGCTATTTATAATTGTTTAGCTATGGTGTAAAATAACTGTCCCGTTCCCATTGCCTGCTCTCGGAGTAGGAGTGGGTGTGTCCACACTCGGTTTTAACTATATGCTGCCATCTAGGGGCATGAGTGTGTAAAGCGTTATATGCTGCAGGATGAGATGCCACTCTTGCTTTGCACACTCCCTACTGGCTCCATATAAATAGTCCTAGTGGTATTTCCATATTCAGTTCCTCGTGTTTCAAGTTGTGGTTTGAATGTGCCGGCCATTTAAAGTATGTTAAGGCCTGACAGGGTTAGCTCGCAGTAGTCTATTCTGAAGAAGGCTAAAAGACTAGTATCACTTCTGAGAACATACTGTGCCACTATCCCATTCGCACCCAGGTGTCAGATTACAGAATCAGTTGGGCTAATATAATAAGAACAGTAACAGGCAATGGGTGGGTTTAAGGCCGGAGTAACACATTAAAAAGTACTTATGTCACTTCTGCAACTAGACTTTCGGACTAATGAGTAAATGATGGCTTTTCTGCAGCCACAGCTCTGGAGCTGCTTGGTTTCATAACGACAACAGTGAACTGTTTGCTATGAGTAAGGCAGGGTGTTTCTCGCCCCAAGAAGGCGGAGCAGAACTACACTGCTGATTGAGTGGAAATCTCCATGACACCTCAGCCAATGCCCATTTGCTAGTTCCACCATTATCAACATCATGGTCAATACAGGCTGGTAGACAACATTCTGAATACGTCAATCTGTGGAATGTCAGTTCCGATTACTGTCAGAGCTTTCTTTTATCCTGCTGTATTAGTAAGAACCTGGACCTGACTTATTCATAAATCTCATGGTTGGATAAGTCAAATCGGCTCATGACAAAAGTGGAACAAGGTTGCTTAATAAATCTGTCAAATGTTTGGTCATCACAGGATGGAAGGGTCTGTACTTTTAGTCCAGTTGGCTGCCAGTGCGATTTGGTGCATTCTGGGAACCTGTTGGCAAATAATGTGAATGAGCATTTCCAGATAAAAACTTTTATCCAGATAAAGAAATACAATACTAAAGGCAGTCAGCAGCCTCATGTTTTTCACAAGAGCCCACAGAAAGCAGGACATGTAATGACGGAATATTTAAAGACCTTAACTTAAGCTCAGGGTTACAGGGGCTCATTATGATCTAATGCTGGCATGTGCCTCTTTATGAGTGGAGACAAAAAGGCGAACATGCTCAGTATTGTAGAGCTCGGCCACTCCCAGCAAAGACTGTTATCCTTGCCAGAGGATGTACCCATTGTCTGTTCATGAGCAACTATCAGGAGGACCTCAAAATAGAGTAGGGAAGAAGGCTGTGGTTGAAAAGGAAGCAATCCATTGTCTTCTTGTTAAGTCTATTACAGACAAGTCAGGCTGGTTAAATTTAGTACAGGGATGTAGCTGACTGCTCTAGAGAAGACGAGCAATAACAGGGATTTGCGTAAACTAGATGACCACACCTTACATTAGCAAACTCATGCTATGTCCACTGCTGTAAACAGGAAGAGACAGGCACTCTGATCAGGTGAACTAGCTTTTATCCTTATTAAAACATATGATTTCCTGTGAAGCCCCTCAAGTCTCTGGGTGATGAAAGGTACCAGTTAAATCTTAAACCACACTGTAGGTTATACACTTATGCTGGCTCAAACTATTCAGTGATTAATCCAGTTGTCTGCATGACAAAGTACTTTAAACAATTTTGGCTGCTTTGGTAAGTATGGTACTCATGCTTAGCTAAGTTCCTAAAATGCAAATGTCACTGGCAAACAACCTGAGTCCTTTAAAACAGAGGCACAGTGAGGAATGTACAGCATACATTAAGCAGGGGTAATATACTACAAGGTTTTAACTTAATCATATGTGCCTCTGAACTTATTTGTGCAGATTGTCAACACGATAAATAGAATGTGAGTTTCAATCAACAGCTGAAGATCAACATGCTAGGTAAAAAAGGAAAAATGTGGAACAGTTATCTTTCATATTGTGTTTAATAATCTGACTTTTTTCTTGGAGAGAAAAATAGTCTGTGGATCTTCTTGAAACATTAGATGATGGATGACTTGATGTTGCTGAGGAGACTGAAAGAGTGGGCAATGAATGAACATCAGCACACAAGGCCCAGCATTTAAATTTCTCTAACCAGCCTAATCTATCATCAGTAAACAAAATGCACTCTTACAGAAAATGACTACGGAACCAATTAAATGAATTTGCTTTAAGGTTGACATTATATGTTTGAGGGGTTCCTTTACATAAGAACAATTAATTTATATCCTGTAAGTTAATATATTTAGCCTTGGTGAAAATCAATTTCATGTTGCAGTTTCAATTATTATTGCAAAAATAACATTTTTAGTAAATTGACATGTGCATCAGTATCACGGGTATTGAACCATTCAACCCAATGCATTGTGTATGGTGCAGCCTTGTTTTCATATGGATTGCTCTTGCAAAACTAACTGGAGGTGCTACAGCACTCTGGGACAAGAATTCCATGGCATGAAGTCTGAGCTAAAATTGGATCGCAGACACAGCTAAACATGAGATGAGATATTTGTCAGAATTGCCCTGCGAGATTTTGAGCTCACTTAAGAAATATAAGCTCATGAGTGCTGCATGGGTAACCCCCATAGCACGAGATTTACTATATCGCCTTCTTTGATGCACATGGATATTTAAGCTATTGAAAGCCAGAGCCTCTTTCTGAAGGGTAAACACTGACATTGCTCTCATTAAAATACTCTGTTTTTTAAAGGGTGTGTTGCACATTATCCTTCACAAGCTTTTCATCTATGTCCAATGTGATAAAAAGTTTCCGCTAGTTTGAGTTCGTTTGTAAGAGATGTAGCTTCCGCCTTTCAGGTATTTGCATTCTGCATTAGGAGCAAAGGAAACTATCTAGTGCTGCTGCACACAATGGAGAGATCAAAGGAATACTCTGGTCTCCTACAGTACCTTTCTGTGCCTCACAAAGTTGCACACACAACCCATAATGTGGTATATCTAAATTAATTCATTTACTCATTTGACCTTTGAAATAATCAGATAAATTATGGGAATACCCATATAGATGAGCATTTAGGGTCTAGAACAGAAAAGGCAAGTGCCCAAACACCTTTTGTCTTCCAGTTACTCTATATGTCTCTATATATTACTCTATATATCAACAGCAGCATTATGAGCCTGTAGGCTGATTGTGTCAGACCTCAAGTTCTAAGACCTACATTCCATTGTGTTGACTATGGACGCTGTGAAGGAGGTGCCATCCTTCATACATTATGCTCAGCCACTTACTTTGTACAGGAGTAAATCATTAATATTTTCTGAAGATGTTTATTATATCATTGTCATCTAAGATGTCAACTTACTGGATAAAGAGAACCGCTGGCCGCTCAGCAGAATCTGAACAATGTGAAATGTATATATTTTAGAGCTATAAATTCTTCTCAGTCTGATCAATATTTTCACCTAGCAATTTTAGTGCATTTCTTTTGAAATAAAGGAAACTCGTCAGCACAAACATCAAAGCTTCCAGAACAAAATCTCAGAACAAATTCTGCAATATTGATATTCATTCCATTACGACAGTTTCCTTAGGAAAGCACTCTCTAAAATTAGATACAGCATTAACCATAATACGCATAGACAGTGTCTCACCCACCATGAAATGTAATAATAATAAATGTAATGGACAGAGGCAGACAGCTTTGACTTTTTCAAAGGTATGGCACACTGCCTGCAGGATACTCAAAACAATTTTATATCAACATATCATAAAAACTTAGTCCAAAGGCATTCGTTTTTTCTTAGATTTACAATATTTGTTTCCTGGCCATCCACCGTTTTTGTGAATGTGAAAGCGAGTGGTTAGAGAGCACAATATTAAGGCTATTTAGGAATCATGTGGCTACTTTGAAAACGGAATGCATGACTACAGTACTCAGCAGAGCCGTTCCATTCACACTACAGCTCCTTCTCCCATGCAGGTCCCCAGTGAGGCCTGTGTGCATTCCCATTTGACTTGGAATACAATTAACAGCTGGATACTTGTCCCTGTGTTGGATACCATCATTTAAAAACGACATGTTTTCATTCCAGCGCAAACACAGTAGCAGGAGTAACGGTTACCGAACTGTAATTTCATCTGAAATCCACACGAGGAGATGCTGCCACACTCACACAAGCCGATAAATTAAAATAAATGACAATAGCAATGGTAGCAATGTAGAAAATCTGATAAGAAAGAACAACTGTCAAATAATGCTCTCTGTGTTATAGAGTATAAACATGATCTATGCATCCACTGTATATAATCCCTCCCCCATCAAGGTATTTTCCAAAACATTTTTCAGTGCCATGTGTGTTTGTAAAGTGTTTGTAGGTGAGCGCAACCCAACATTTGCCTCGGGATGACAAAAGTAAAAGTAGTTCACTTTTACTTTATAATCCAGAGACAAATGTTTAACTCTTCTTGTGCGAGTCGGAAAATTCAAGTAAAAAAGCCATGTGTTTTTATTAGTTTCTGTGTGTCGACTTTGATCTGCACCTCTCTTGTGGTGGGGTGACTGGTGCCAGACAAGCCTCTTGTCTAGACCTTAGTGTGTGCTGGGATAATCCTCAGGGAAGACTCTGCCTTGACACTGTTGTCCCTCTTGCCTTTCAGAGTGGATCCAAGCGGTCCAGGCTCTCATGATCCTGTCCATCATCTTCAGCGTCCTGTCCTTGTTTCTCTTCTTCTGCCAGCTCTTCACTCTCCAGAAAGGTGGACGTTTCTTCCTCACTGGAATCTTCCAAATACTTGCAAGTGAGTATTGCTTTATCAGTGGACTTTTGTGCAAAGATGTGGATATGCACAGAATCACTGTTTGATCGAAATCTCAAAAACATCTGTAGTGGATGGTATGATAGTGAATATTACTTCACTGAACTCCTAAAGAAGTGCTTTAATTATTTTGTGGAATGATCTGAATGGGTCTTTGCCATAAGAAATGACACTGCAAGAAATTACCTTTGTAAATTTCGGTGGTTACTCAGGAAGAAATGGGACGTGAACGCACTACGTTTGGAGGGAGTGGATCAAATAAGGGCAATATTGTGGTTTCTTTTGTCATACTTCTATAGAAAGAACACGCTAGTCATAAAAATATTACGTTTTAAAAGAATTGCACATGTGAGCAAACCACATGTAAAGAAAGATACATCTATTTAACAATCAAAAGGCAAGTTATGCAAAGAGTCTCAAATATGCTATGTGGAGTGAGAACCTGAGGGTTGTCATTTGTTTAATGAGGCTGGTTAAACCATGGCAGCAGCCAAGCTGAGCTCTTGCCATTTCTTTACTAATGGATTTGAAAAAACTGAGTCTTTTTCTAACCTGTTCAGGATAGAAGACGGGTTTGCTAACAAAAACTTGTACAGTTTATCAAAGATGCCATGCATCTCTGCTCGCCATTCACTTCCACTTCTTTGAAAGTACAAGTACTGTAAGTAAGCGAGCAATTGTTTTTTGTCACCGGTTTATACTTCCTCTTTAAGAACGTCAGTTGAACCTAAGCCAAAAACTGCACAGAGCTCCATCTCAGCAGACAGAGGTAGCTTTGAGCCCATGTGCCTTGCGATAATTGTGCTGGTGTAGGCAGCACAGAGTACTTGGAGTCTAAGTAGAAGTGTGACTGCAGCCTATTGTGCTTTCCCTCCCACCTGACTTAGTCAAACGTTTGCGGCGCCCTCTGTCTTTGTACAGCAAGCCCGCAGGGGAAAAATAAAACTGTGAATAGCCCATTACTGGATGTTAGAAAAACCTGTTCCCACGCGTGCTGGGGTTGGCGCAGAGAAACAGAGAGAGTGACTGAAGTGCAAATGTCATCAGTACGGGCTGGTGGGAGGACCTCCACGCTGGGCAGACAAACTGCAGTCAAAGTCTTGACTTCAAGTCACCATAATACAAACCCGGAGGCTTGGAAGTCGTTGAAACCTCTTTTTTTGTGAGATTTAACCAAACACATATATTTCATTCTGAAAGAAAAATCTCCCCGACATCACCTCAGTAGCTGTAGAACAGCTGAACGTTCAGCATATGTGTTGTATTGCGTCAATGTGGTCAGTCAAGCAGTCATTTTGCAGCATAGTTTTTTATTATCCTACCCCCCCCCCCAAAACCCCAACTATAACCAGAGATTTGGAATTCAGTCCGTTTTAGAAAACGGTTTTATGCTCTTCTACGTGATCTGCAATGATTTCTCCCTTCTCTTTCGTGCAGGTCTCTTTGTGATGAGTGGAGCAATCATTTACACAGTAAAAAGCACGGAGTGGTTGTCGCAGGCTGCCACATATGGGTTTGCCTATATACTGGCATGGGTGGCATTCCCCTTGGCACTGATCAGTGGATTAATCTACGTCATCTTGAGAAAACGTGAATGAGTTCTCCTTCTAAAGCACCAAGACATCAGTACTACAGCGTCCACAGCCAAATTGAAACGGATACAAGAGATAAAAAACAAAATTACTGTTATAGTTTGAAGATGTATATAGTATCTATGGTTTAAACCTATTTATAACACTTTTTACATACATGTATATAGTATTGTGTTGCTTTGTTGACAATGATTCTCTGTTTGAGCTTTGTTAAGCTAATGAAGTGCCTCCAGAACACTCTTGTCATGGTGAAATAACCACCTTTTTTATTTTTTTTTATCTTTCAACCAACAAACACAACGGAAACCTAAGAGATTTCGGTATTTTAACCAACGCGCATGTATGGATTAGAAGTCTAGAGATGGTTTGTTTTAACTGTGCTCGTTTTAGGGGAAAAAAAGCTACCAACAAAAAAAAAAAGACTGCTAGAATAAACAATTTAAAAAGTAGCTTGATGACTTTGAAACATTATTTTTCTCTTTGTGATGATAAACCAAAAATAGGTCTTTTCTTAATTTTTTTTGTTGAAAAAATGGTGCTATGTATTCTACCATTCCTATTATTGATAGTCACTTAGCCCTCTCTCAAGAGTCAATTAACACAATTTAAATATTAAAATGAACAGCATTTTAAAAAAGGAATTGACTTCAATGTAATGTACTTGTACCTAACTGCTTCTGTACATAGAGGATTATACTAAATTTTCTTTTTTTAAATAAAAGCATTTAAAGAAAACTATAATGGCTTGACGTGTTAGTGAAGCTAACAGTTCAACAGTATAGCTGGGAATGAACTTTACTGTCATACCGCCTATTCATATTAAAACTAAAATACTAAAAGGTGTTAAAATAATATTATAACCACTTTTATGTCTACAGTAGCATAGGTCATTAAGATGTCTGGTAGAATTTGAGTTTAAAATTCTTCATGTTTGTCGTGCACGCTTGACAAAAATCCTTCCCATCATCCCTTTCACTGGAATGTTGGATGTGTTTGGGAAGGCTAAAAGAACTTAAAACTACAAAGAAATCTGCGTTTTGTTTTTCTTAGTTTTCATTAGAGAGCATGTGTTTATGTGATATTGCTGCTGAGTGAGTTCAATTAGATACTAACCTGTTTCCTGGTTGTCTGCTTATGAAAGGGGCATTATTATGGCTTGACTCTTACCTGTAGCATGACGATTTTAGCAGCTGGGGATGGTGGCAGTAGCTGATAGCTATTCACACTGGGGCTGAGCCATGTGCAGTATTAAGGGATAAGTCGACTCAGCAGAATGCAAAGCACTAGGCTGGCAAGATGGAAAGTATTTCCAGTTTAAGAGCAAAACTTTGAGTACTATTGACCCAGCTGGAAAACAGTTCTCCCACCTCTTAAAATACTTCAATGAAGCCTTTTGCCATTTCCTGTCCTTGCTGTTATAAACACTAAAAACAGAAAGCAAGGCCTGGAGTGATTAACAACTCAGCCTTGTCTCAAACATGGCTCTCAGTGGTTTTACTTGAAGTTTAAATTGAGCATAGTTTTCTCGTGCGATGCGTCAACCTGTACTGCAATTTCAGGGCATCAGCCACGTTTCACAATAAACCTCCTTAAGGCAAATTGTAAATAGCATTTCATGCAGGATATAGGATATCATGATATTTAAGTGGATATTAAAGTGCAAAAAAAAACATTGTAGTCCTGCAAGGCAAAGGATTTGGTTTGAGTTAAAAATGTAAAATAGCTGTGAAGATTACACAAGATGTGTTTTTAAAACAGAGCAGAATATAATAAGGAGGAGATTTTTGAATATTTTTGAATACTTTTTGAATATTAGTGATACTAGTAGTCACTCCAGTGATGGTAGTTTCCAGACCAATAATGCCTAAATGTATTCAGATGGCATTGGTACAAATAGAGAAGGCAATAATAATAATCACAATGTTGTTATATTTGTTGGTTATTGGATTAACTTAACTTCCTGTTAGCAAAAATGTTTGGCAAAGCAGCAAGTGAACTATGTTTTATCTGCCTTTTTGATATTAAAGATAATACAAATACTAAAACAGCATAGCCATACTGTAAATCTATTGTCTAAGGCAGCCAAGTTCTAAACATTTCTGTTACTAAGTACTCTAGTATTAGATGCTTCTGTTTGGTAAACCACTTTGTTACTTTAAAATGCCACAGACACACATCTGTTGCATCTTTCAACCAAAGCTAAGATTCATGTTACAAGCCTGGTATCACATACCCAGTGATCTCATTACTGGTTTATTTCTGCATGTGGGTTTTATTTCTCTGTGATTGCCAGTAATGTGTAACAGTGAAATTGGGAGGGGGAGGAGGAGGTGGAAATGGAGATGTCTGGAATGGGGTTTTCAGTCCCAATTATTTTACAAGAGTAATAAGACAAAAAAAAACTTTTAAATTCTGCAAATTCAGCCTAGTCTGAAGTGTCAGTAGGGGTGAGATCTTGGTATTGATTGTCAAAGCAGCTTGTCTTCCCAGTTGTTGCCAAATACTTTGTTTCGTTTTTTTAAAGAGCAAATCATTCTGTAAAGGCAACAATGTACAATGTGTTGCTAATTGGTCTCCCAGCAGTGTGAAAGTGTATTAATGTGATTTCTAACTCTTCTCATCTTATGTAAGGGAGTAGAATATGCTGATTTATTTTCGAGCAATTGAATGTTATAAAGTGTTTGTAACGCTTGTCCTTGGTGACACAAGAAATTTAGTTTGTCCCTGTTCCTTTAATTTGTAGCTTCTGTAACCAATCATCATGTTTCTTGTTGCCTGTTAGAGGTGGTGTGAGGGTTGAGAAAACACAGGAAGTCAGTCTGAGGGGATCGAAGGTCTCTGATGAAGTCTGGCATTCTGCTAACATGGTGGGTGGATACAGTCTGAAATATACTTGACATGTTTTGTGTTTTTACATTTAAAAGTAATTCAAATAAAAAAAAAGATGATTACTACCAAAGACATCCCTGTCATAATTGTGTCATCTGTGTGAAACTTTTAGGGCAATTGTAGGGTTTTTCCTTCAGAAAAAAGGTAGCAACGTGAAAATAGCACAGTGGTTCTTGCAGCCTGCTTTCTGAAAGCTAGTTCTTCTTTACATATGGATTGGTGTGCATTGTTCCAGGTCCACAGTCTTGAAAAAAAGAGAACTATTTTAGGTCTGATAGCCAAATCCGTAAATATACAGCACAGTTCAGTTACACAAGGGTGACTGAATACGTATTACATAGAGTGGAGTTATAATCGAACCATCCACTGAGAAAGACCATACATTAGTTTCTCATTAGCTTTTCTTGGAGGTGAATGTCAGAGTGCTACAATGTGCCGCAGGAACACGGAACACCCCACGGGCAGCAGCAAAAGCCTACAGTAGGTGCAGGTTACCGGAAAGCAGCACAGTTTATCGATCCGTCTGGCGCGGTGACGCTTGAGCAGTACAGAAATGTGATACCAGCTGAGATCCAACACGTGGGGAGAGTAAGATGTCACCTTATGTCACCCACTCCACCCCCTAAAATCCACGTTCTCCGCTGTGCTTAATGGCTCTCTCTGGTCTTTCATTTGGCCTTCCTGTCAGAGATACTTTTGTTTAAGCATTTTCAAAGCGATATGAACATTTCAAAGAGGCGTGTGAGAGGCCAGGCTGAGCAGTGTCTCAGCTGCTGCGCTAGAAGGGAAACACTAGTAACGCGCACTACATTCCTAGCGGATCACTGGATCACAGCATAAAACTAACTTCAGTGCTCGTCGTTTTTGTGTTGGGAGTGTAGGGCCGTCCTACAAAAACAATTACTGTGAACAATACGTTGAAGGTTATCCACTTCCAGTTTAAAATACGTGTGAATTTGGAAATCGTTAACCTCAAACCCCCTAGTTGTAACCAGTGGAGAAACGTATCTCTCATCTAAAACAATATAGTGAAACAAAAGTCAATTTAAGAAAAAAAAAACAAACACAATGAGCCAAATATAAGCGTTCCTGAATCCTGTCTTCGGGTTCTTAGATGACTAAAAATGTTATGTACTATAAACTAGGAATCTACAGTACTAGGAGTACAACGTGGTTGAAAAGTAAGGTAAAAGGAAACGAGAATCAAAAGTAAGCAAAAATCAACGAGGCACAATCTTGTCATATTGCTAGCAAAAAAAAACATTTTACCAGTGCAGAAAAACCTACATATTTTTAAATAATACGAAGCATAATTAACTCTTAGTATTAAGACGAAAATGTGAAACGTCAGCGTAGTTAACGGTTTTCCAAAGGTCAAAAAACGTGCGTACAAAGCACGCAGCTACACGCCTCCAATAATGCTAATCAAGGGCAGTTCTTCCAGTCAGACTGAAATAAACCCTACGTACTCACGCCTATTTCTCCATACATGAAGCAACAGCGCCACATAGCGTTCACAGTCACGAAGACTTATTCAGGTCTGTCTAAATTGACCTATAGTATATCAAAGACAACATATCACACAGTACAAAAAAAATCTTCTTTCCGCTTTTTATTACCTCCTTTTTGAATTTTAAAATAATTCTCAAAACCAAAATGTTTGCATTCATTAAAACTTGAGCAACCCAAAGAGTTTCTGTGCTGCACCGTGGCAAAAAGGGATGATGATCTGTATAATCTTGTTCAGACATATTTCATGCTCCAAATTGTATTTCAATTTGTTACACATTATAGGTGCGCTAAATAAAACGTCAGGGTTACGCTACACAGCCTTTGTAGCTTTTCATGATACACTACTGCCCCTTGTGGTTAAAAGGAACAGCGACCTTATGCTGTTCCAAGATAAAACATATTTTTCTGCATTTAATAATGATTACGATTAATTCAAATATATACACACATATGCCAACTTTATTACAGTATCATATTATAAAATTTATTTTTTAATTTCTAAAGACAAGATTGCTTTAATGTTATACATTTGTTTTCAATTAATTAGCAGCCGGACCCTACATATTTATCTGATGAAATACTACCCTGAAGAAGTGATGATTATCTTTGCTCTCTTTGTGCGAATCTCAGACCGCAAGTTGACTCCTAGGTTTTTTATACTAATATGTAAAAAAAGCCTCAATGTAAAACTGTTTATAAAACTCTCCATGACTTCTCAGATTTTCATAACAACCATGACCAATGAATGACTGTCCCACAGAAGTACATCATATTTAATCAGTTTAGACCAGTTATGACTCCATAACAGCCTTCTTTAAAAAAAAAACACAGAATGCTCTAGGTGTTTTCTGTCTTAGATTAGGAAAGGCCTGAGCTATAAATCTATGCTCTGCTTCTTGTTAGTGGAGCCATTTAAGAAAAGACAAGCCATCCAGTTCAAACCAGGCCTGCTGAAAATCTGCCCCCTCAAACCGATGTTGTGCAGTGAATACCAAATAGCAGAAAAAACACTGTGTGAGATCAAATCTGTCCCAAGAGCATGGGAACTAATTTTGGCTTATTAAAATGCTTGCAAGATCATTAATTGGAAATTTGCTCATTAGGTTTAATTGATGTTTTTATGCTGCGTATATGATAGGGTATCTGATGCTACTTATTTCCTTTGTTTGTGCTCAGTCTTCTGATTTTAACCATCCTTAAGTTCTTCTGCTCATTTGTATATGTTTAGCACATATCTGTGTAAATCTGCCATTTGCTTGCTACATTAAGGAGCTGTTCAATCGTGTAGGATGTCTGATGTCTGATGAGCAATTGGAAAAATTATTACAAGTCATTACTGCAACAGGATCATTCACAAAGACGGAGACATTAAATAAAGGCATCAGGAACATTTACAAGCATGCACTAGTTATTCCAGATTTTGCACATATTCAGCAAAATAATTGATTAATTGATTTAATGCTTTAAACACGAAAACTGCAAGAATTGAGACTGATGTAGAAAATAGACAACCAAGATGAGATACACAAGTATACACAAAATAAGCCCCCTAAAGCACGGGACCTTTAGGGGTCCACAGAGACCGTCCAAGATGTCTCCAGTAAAAAAAGGGAATCTTCTCAAAAAGTTTCTAGTGGTGTGTTCAAGCAACACTCTTATATAGTGGATCTCCTCTGTCAGTACTCTGGGGTATCAGGTTTTTTGTTTGATTGTGACATTATTCATAAGAAATATGCACTGCATTTGGACAAATGTCTTTAAAGAAAGAGATTTATTGAAAAGGGGTGCTTGAGGGAAAAAGGTTGAAAATTCCTGCTCTGAAGTAACTCTGTCTTTAATATATAATTTAATTTAGTATAACCAGGAAGAGAAAAATGTGTAACGATTTACGGTGTAACATAGGACAATAGGATGCAGATATTGTCCGTTTGCCCTCCATTGAATACAGTCTATAAATCCTATTAGTTTGGGGTGGGGGATGGGTGCAAATATATTTGGAACACGTCCCTTTTGGGGCGTGTGATGGGGAATTGGTGATGGCGGCGCAGATGAACTCTTGAACTGCTTCCCGTGTGTAATCTGATCTGGCCCCACCTCGCTCCATCACCCCTGGGCCATCCACCAGGCCCCTCCACCGCCTTTATTGACTGCGCTGAACTTCGGGGGTCCTCAGGGACACCGTCCTCTGATCTCCATCTGTGGCCCTGCTTTCGGGGGTGCGTCCCTGAGAGCCCATCGCTCAATCCAGGGGGGTACAGTGACTGCACGTGTCCTCGGGCAAGACCACCGCCCACTGTAGTCCTTGTACTTTGCCCCCACTTCATATCACCCTTCCTAGAAGGATCTTCAGTACTGAGGTCTTTCTTTAAGCGTCATAACCTTAGAACTTCTAACAAATAAGTAAAATACTGGAGTACACTTTTATTAAATAAATTAAAGAAAGTTAATAGAATTAAATAAGTTTATATATTGAAAAATCTGCTCTTTCTGAACGAATCAGAGAGGAATTATATCTTACAGTGCTACTGTGGATTTCACCATGAGCACAGTAAGCTGTGCTTTCTGCTCATGTTATTTAATTCCCTCACTTTTCCAGCAGTACTGGACTTCTCATGCTTCTAGACAGTCAGCACACATTTTGTAGTAAACCCTTAATAAATTAGTCCTTGGTTGATGAATTTAACAAGTGCCACGCACCTTATTCCAATCCCTGTTCATATAATGAACTTTCAATACATTTTAAGGAGCTGTAGCTCGTCTGGCACCTTACTCATCAAAATCTGAGGAGGAAAATGTGTCAGGTCTCTGTCGCACTTGACAGGGGCTACAGGAAAACACGGTGCTGTTGTCATGAGCAGCATGGCTCTGAAGGACTTTTGACTCAAGTCCAAGTGCAGAGCTGGCCTTGTTGAGAGTAACCCCAGGGGCCTGCTATCCGCAGAGGCAGACTGACAGCCCCACTTGAGCCTGCACAATGGAGAGCAATCTCTCTCACCTGTCCCTAAGCATCACGAGAACACTTGTACAACACAGTCTGCGTGTGATTTCTTCATTTTGTCTCTGCAGCAGAAGTAAACCGACAAAGCAAAAAAAAACAAACAACAATGACATGGCAATGAACACATTGTATGATGTGTACGATGCTTCACATGACTATTCTGAAATACAACATTATCATGATTTCTCGTGTCTAGTAGTGTACAGCAAGTCTTTTACACGGAAGTTACCGAGCATTCGTTTTCTTCTTTCGGAGGTAAAGGCATTCACCAAAAGTGGAAAAAAATTCAGGTCAAAACAAATACACAAATACACAAATACGCAAACATAAATTTATCAGAATTCTCCGAGTCCCAGCTCATGTTCCCATCATTAGGAGGCAAGGGGATCATGGAAAAATGAATGTAAAATAATAGTTTTTCATTCTTTGCTGTTCCCCTGCTGCCTTTATCAGCCCCAGCCCCTTTAGTCTTTGGGGAGATAATATTTTTTAATTTCACCCACACAATGAACATGGATCAAGCCAGAAGGTCTTCCTTAATTTATCATGGTTCCTTCAGA